ACGCGATGAAGATTGAGTGATGGTGCGATAACGCGAGGAAGATGATGCGATTACGAGATACAGAGATGACGCAAAAATTGACGATGGAGCTATACTCACTATCACTTCATCGAGCCATTACGGTATCGCCATCGCAATGTCGCTGCATGGCATCGATTCAATGGTATCGCACCTTCGTCGTCGCGCCATCGACCCAACAGTCGCGATGCTTGATTGTGCAATAGTAAACTATGTGGTCCTATCCGGAGTTCATGTGAGAGAAAGGTTTTAAACAGTCCTCGCAAAGAAATTAATTATAATTTTCACTTGCTAAATATGTTAATTGTTTGAAAAAAATTGCAACTGAGCACATAGACTGGTGTACATTTTGTTCTTTGTGATATTTCGTAACTGAATAAAGTTTAATATGATTTAAATTGAGAGTTAAATTATTATTTTTTACCAAAATATCTTTATACTCAGTATTTTTGTCCGGGGTAGAAAGCCTCCCCTTAGATATAAATCCATTTTTTAAAAAAAATGCCTTTTTCATTGTGACTTGCAGATTTTTTTCCTTTATTAACACTATCTTTCTAACGACCAAAACTTTTTCTTCTCTATATAAATCACTCATAAAAGAAAGAAAGCAAATCTTTAAACCAGAACAACTTATCACTGATTAAGAAAACCCACCCTTTAATACACATTGCTTAAAGTATTGATCAGCGAGTCAAACTGAATTCTTTGGAGATATTATTTTTAACAACAGATTAAACTTAAGATATTCAGGTGATGAATTCGATTTTCTCAACAACAAAAATCAACTCTTTGACGGAAAAATATCCATCATAGTAGAATAATCTTTCACTTGTCCAGGTAAAAGTTATAATTGATTATCATGTTGATTTCCAATAGGACATTGGTCACAAAGATTTGATTTTACATAAATGCTCGAATATAAATTCAATTTTTGTCCTTTTCGAAACAATGGAAATTGACTTTATTCCTAGCAGACAAAGGTAACTAATAAAAATACAGGTATAGTCCACTAATCGATATATTATTTCAAAGGTACACGATACCATGACCGATTCCTTCTGACTGATGAATCTATCCTGGAAAATCCGAAGACGCTCGGCCATGCCGAGGAATCTTTGCGTCAATAATTCATTAAGCAAATGTATCAAGACTGCTCTTTCCATATGTACGAATGCCAGGAACCTGTCAATATATTGGTATACTTAGAAACTGCATCAAAATTTAATAGATGTTCATAAACGCACCTTGGTAGTTTTACCTTTTCTCCATTTAGAGTAGAAGTTTTATTCAAGCGTCCATATTTTGACGGTAATTTTGGCGTTTTTATTCTATGGTACAGAGTAATTGTTGACATTTTTTTTTTCAGATCTATTTTATTTTTATACTCACACAGGGAAAATTTCACAATCAATTTGAATAGATTTACCTAGAATTTTGAAACACATCTTTAATCCCATTTAAGAATTTTGCAACTCGCGGTTTACCTAACTAGAGCTTTTCAAACCAATCCGTAACAATTCTATAAATGAAGACTTTCTAATGAATGTTGAATTCCCCCATGAGAGGAAAGGAACGTAAAACAATTTAATTAACGAAAACTAATGATTATTTATTAATTAAACGAAATGACCTTTTGAGAAACAAATGCAAGTAATTAAAGGTGAGCGCAAGATGTGTAAATTCTGTACTGTCAATAAGTAGTCCACAAAGGCAGGATAATCGGTGTTATTGCGCCATACGAGCTTTTCAAAAATTATTTCTACGTAAACTTTATGAAATACGCTTATGCCCCCCCTCCCCCCCCCAAAAAAAAAATGAAAAAAAAAAAACCAGACAAACAAACAAAAATAATATTATTGAATACTTAGAAAATGGAAATAAATAGATCGACTTCACTATATGGGTAGTTCAGAAGATGAGCATAGCCACACTGTATAAACTAAAATACATGTATTCCTGTCTTAGTATGATTTTTATGCCCCTTGATCGAAAGATCCCGAGGGTATATTGTTTTTTGTCCTGTCTGCCTGTTTGTATAGCTGTTTGTCTGTCTGCTGTCAACTTTAACCTTATCATAACTATATATATTGCGCTGTCAAGGTTAAGGCTTTAATATTTGACATAAGTGTTCATTATGACAAGACCTTTTCATTAGTACATTACAGAAATTTTTTATCTTGTGACCTCAATTGTGACCTTTGACCTACATTTGAAAAACTCCAGAATTGTGTTACCATAGGCGGCATAGTGTTCCACAAACACATCATGTTCTTTTTATATAGTGGTATGCATGCTTTTCAAGTACATGTAAATTCAAAATTTACAATATCATAGTCCATGCAAATAAAGTGACATTTCTGAAATATTTTATTGAAATGTGCTTAAGGCCTGCTAAAAAACATTTTACATGTATGTATGAAACAATGCACGGATATGAAAACTTCAAACTTGTGGCAAAGGAGATTCCAGTATTCAGTGAAACTTGGTTTACGCAATTTTGATTGACTCTAAATGAGTTTACCTATAAACAACTCATAAATAAAGTTTAATGTATTGAACTCTGCATTTGTTGACGTAAAACTACTTTTATCACATTCAGTTTGTTTAAGACTCATGTCTGTAGGAATGTGGGTGTTAAAATTGAAAAGATATTGTGAGAGTGCAAATTATTCATTTGCAGAACATTACTCGATAATTTAAACACATATATAAAAAAAATCGATCCGACAGAAATCAAAAATTTAGGAAATTAATCAATAAGGGAATTCGGCCTTATCTGTTAGCAATTAGAAATGACATAGAAGCATTTCCTCTTACGGTAATGTCATTCAGTAATAGTGGATAATACTTGACAGTTTTAATGTACGCGTATTTTCAAAACAAATAATGCAGGTTTGACATTCATAATGGTCATGTCTAAAAAGTCTAAATTATCTATTGTTTCGACTAAAAGCAATATTTTGTTTAATATATTGACATTTCATTACAGTAGTAAACACGACGACGAAACAACCGCCTATATTAATAATGAGTGTACATGTGTGTCCTTGCTAAATTCTTTAGATTCATCTACACATTATATATTTGGGGAAAAAAATGAGCATTGTAAACATATAATACGCATGGTAAAAGACTACAAAGTTCAGATAAACCCCAAAAAGCTGGAGGGGGAGATAAGGTCAAATTTTTGTGAATTATAAACAGAAATATTTATTTTAAAATAATTACGTTCAAGCTAATTATTTATTCAAATATGCAGATACTAGTATCGCAAATATATAGGATTTATTTTCTCTTGTTAACTTATAGGGCATCTGAGTGCAAGTTTAATCCTATCGATGAAGTTCAGGAAAATTTTGAACTGCGAAATCATTTCCTAGGAATCGCATTTTATATCAATGTACGGACCTATCCTTCAAAGTTCCAAACACAGAAACTAAACAGTTTTTTGTGATTTTTAAGTCACACAAATTTCCACGTCAGAGTTCACAGAAAATTCCACTTAAAATCAAATCTTTGATCCTCTTACGTGAAAATATCAAAGATTTTATGTATTAAACACATTTCATGGAACTCACATGTTATACTTGTTAAGTCAATATTTAATTGTTTTGCATGGATTTCACTTTCCAGTTCCGCTGAGAAATCTTTTGACAATTTTTTACAGTTGAAAGAGTTACACGTAACTGATGGTTTTATTTGGAAAATCTGTTTTAGCAAGTTTTGCAAACTTTAAAAACCATTGTTTAAAATGTAAAATTGTCTTTGATGTCCCAATCCAAGCAACAAGGTCTCGTAACAGCATACATTGTATATTTCATATCGGAGCTGATTACCAATGTTTGGACCGTCGGAAAAAGGCCAGATACCCAGTAACTTACGACGTGTGAAAATATTTGATTTTTGGTCCTAAATGTCAAATAGGCTAGAGTCCTCTCGGGCCGTGTGTTGACTTTTATGTTTAAATCGTTCTACTTAATTTCCCCCACGTTTAGCATTGGTGGCTGGTTCTAAATTGTCTTTGAATTTTGGTCCAGATACGGCTGCTCCTGATTAATGTTTATTTACAGATTTTTAAAGGGTTCAGTACGTAGAAGCGAAGATAACGAGTTGCGTCTTTTTAATTTAATTAAGCACCGGGCGTGTTTGTTTATTGTTTGTACATATCTTCAGTGGGAACACCGACGTAGGTTTCATAAAGATTAAAAAACAGGTGACTAGGTTCTTCACGTACGACATAATGGCGAATTATAAATGGTCACGGTTTATTGTTCTCGTTACTCGGGTAAATAAGATTACGGTATGCCAATAAATAATTTAGGCATTTAATAACCTATACACGCTTCCCTTAAAATGGAATATTTTGTTATTGAAAAGCCTGCCTTTGATAATTCTTAAGAACCTTTGGCTCATTTTAAAATAACATGGAACTTCATTTTTAATGTACACTCTCGAAAGAATAGAGTGGTCATTATATTGCCTTTAAGGGTTTTATTGCATGCATTTTATGAGTGTACAGGGAAATTCTTTCTTGATACAACAAGTTGCTTAGAGAATTAAAATGCCAGGGTCTCGTTTGTGCATAGATAAAACACAACAATGGTTTAGAGAAATAAAAAGAATTTTTAAAAATAAGAAATTGTCTGATGGGTAATAGCTTCCTTGGGCATGGATAAAGAGAATTTACATCGACCTCCGAATGACAAACTCTAGATATCAAAACCAGGCTCCTCAGATTAATTCAACAAGAATTTGTTCTCAATTTTTCCATTATTTGTTTTTAATTATCCTTTTTATTACACCTCTGAAGCTGTATTCAAAAGACTCTATAACCAAGAGAATAAAGTACATTAACATCCTGAAAATAAACCCAATTATATGTATTGACCCTACCAATATGATCAGAAAATTATGAGCCAACATATATCATATGCGTACTATGGGTTGGGATCTGGGTACCGTGGGTGGGAACATTTACTTACTTTTTCCGGAAGCTCCCACTCGTCCGGGTCCCTGTAGATGGTCTTCTGTCGGAGGAGGTCGTTGGGTCGGTACTGTTCCCGGAACCCCCTCTGAGCGTACGTCTCCGGTAGGTCCTCTACAGGGGGGTCGGGGAGTCGGGGTGGCAAGGAAGTTTTCTGTTTGCTATTATAGTCATTATATTGCTTTTCCTGATTATTATTCTGGAACGTTTTGGAGTCATTATTCCAAGAGGAATCCAAGTTTAGATCGTTCGTTAAGTCAACACTGTCGTCTTTTTTGACGATGAATTTTGTTTTGGCATTCCGAGGGGTGTTATTGTTCACTGGGGAGTCATTCCTTACCCTAAGGTTATTTTGTCCCTCACGCCCTGTCTCCCTCCTGGGTTCGTTCCGCTGTACGGTCCCCCCTTTTTCATGTTGATTCGTCGCCTCTGTGCTTCCACCTGAACCCATAACTCCACGAAAATTGTATTAATTATAACCTTCCCTAAAACACATAATTCCAAAAATATAAAAATTAATCAGAAATTTAATTAACGGCTCGGTCACATTTTCTCCTAATGGTGAACCACCGCAATTCACTTGGACACTGAACTATGCTGATTTAAATTAAGCCATATTAGAACATTCCGAAATGGCGCGCTGCCTATTCGTATACTTTACTTGGGTCTGAAGACTGCGTAACCTCTTGGCAATCTTACAGTTCATTGGTTCGCATTTTCTGTTTATAAATAGTTCCTCGGTTTCAATTACTCTCGTTGATTGAAGGTTATACAAATTGATATTAACTGATCGTCGATCAATATAAA